GAGAGGGAGAGGGAGAGGGAGAGGGAGAGGGAGAGGGAGAGGGAGAGAGAGAGAGAGAGAGAGAGAGAGAGAGAGAGAGAGAAGACCCAGAGAGCTGAGGCAACATTTTGGACTATATAGGGAAGAGGTTCTGGGAAGGGAGGCCAGCCCCTGGGCTGGAAAGTTCACAGTTGGGGCCAGAGTATGCCAGGTAGGGATTGAGGGATGCTGGGAGAACCTGGAGGCCAGGTCTGATTTGATGGGTAAAATATCCACCTCAGTCCCTTGTCCTGAAACCAAACACTCACCTGGAGTTTTCTCAGAGCCTTCAGGGGTCTCTGGATTTTGAGGCGTCTCTGTGTCCTGGTTGCTTTTAGAGTCCTCTGTGGACTGAGTGGACACGGATGCCCTGGAGGTCTTTGGAGTCCTCCTGTCAGGATCAGCCTTCTGCTGCTGTAACCACTCATCCTTGTAGCCGTTGCTGATAAGTTTGGAAAAGTTTGTGGGTGAACCGGTTTTTGGACCAGGCCTTAAAGAGAGACATGTAAATGTTAAACATGAGCACAAAGATTAATTTTAAAAGGAAAAACAGAAGCAGAAGTCAAGAACTTAACTTGTGAGAGAACACTGGTGCTGAGCTCTGCCCCCTCCCCTCCTCACCCTCCCCCATCCCCTTCCCCCCTCTCAGTCTCTGTGAATCTCTCACCTGTCAGTCTCTTTCCCCATTTCAAACATAAAAATGGTCTCCATACATCCCTTATGCACCAGTGATACCATATTTAGCCCAGTTTCCCAAACTTTTTTTTTCTTATTAGCCTCTAAGAACACCTGTTTCACACAAGGAAGTCATAGAAAATACCACCTCCCCCATATTAACAATGGATGACTTAGGACAGTTGCTCCTGTTTTAATGACCTCATTCCCCACTGCACGACTCTCCTGTCTCCTGTCATCTGTCACCTGTTTCAGCTCACAGATCCTATCATAACTGACACCAGAGAGTGGCAGGGTGGTAGTGTGAGCCTTGCAGTCAGGCAGGTGCAAGCACACCCTCGTCCCCTTCCAAACCACAGGTTTCAGACTCATGAATCATCTTAATAAGGATTTTCCCAATGGCTCCCTCCCCATCTGTCACAATGTCATTAGTGTGATTGTTTTCCCCAGTGGATGGGAAGCTGTTTGAAGGCTCAGTCAGCAATTAATGACATTTGTTTTCTCCTAAACTAGACTTCTAGCAAACAAGGCGACACAGTGGCCTCCAGAATTTCTTTTCTTCAGCTGGAAGACCAACAGGTGTCAGCATACTTAGGGGAACCCCAGTTGAAAGCAGAGCCAGAGTGCTTGCACTCAAGACAGAGACCCCAGGCTCTGATGACAGTAAGTTTCAGGATTGAGTATGTGAACAGGAACACACAGCCACAAACCACATGCTTATACCACAAAACAGGATGCAGGAGACCAGACACATGAACAAAGGGTCAAATTGATGCTAAGTAAGAAACAGAAGTGCAACCAGGTTCTCAGGCCAGGCTGGGCAGGGTTCTGTGGGCAAGGTAGGCAGGTGCTGCCATTGGCAAAGCTGTCTCTGGATAGGACTGGGGCAGGTCAGTGGGTGCTACCAGTTCATAGCTGCCAATTGGGTAAAGGACAGAAAATCAACCTAAATTTCATACAAACAGCATTCACTCTCGTAATTTGGACACTTACATAGGAGGCAATGACAGTCTGTTCCTTTCAGGGTCTTTGTGGCTAACTGGGGTCCCTGCTTTGCTGGGATTCTTGGAATTAATAGCTGGCAGTTTCACCTGTGTGAAGAAATGCAAATCTGTGAGTTAAGAGTAGAAGGAAGGTTTCCAAGAGCAGTAGATATACCAGTTCTAGCCTTTCAGTATGGTCACAGGCTGTTACAATAAAGTCAAATCAAATGATCGCTAATTCAGCCGGATGGCTAGGGAAAGGGATAGTGTGTGCTTCAAAAACAGTTGCTGTGTTTAAACAAAGAGGTTACCTGTTCAGGAGGGGAACAGTGGGATTCCAGATATCCCGGGGGATCTTAATGGAAGGGTCCAGCAGCCCATAACAATGGAAATGCCAGTATAGTGAGGCTTACAGGTGTTGTAGATTGCCCTGGTGCTGTTTGTATTTTGATGCTAATTCTGCATCCTCAAGAGGGGTTGCCCCGAAAAGTTACACATGGAATCATGTACTCAGATGATTCCATGTGAACCTTCTCCCCATTTTAACTAGTCAATAAAGATGGCAGAAGCCAATCGCTGGGAGAAGGATAAGGTGGGATTTCCAGGTCCCAGGAGGAAGAGGAGGAGAGAGAGAGGAAGAGGGATTTGGATGAGGCTGTGGAATGGGTAGGAAGTAGCAGACATGTAACGCTTGGGGACCGATAGTTTGTAGCCTCCTCAGGCCTGGCTAAGAAGGATGGGGCAAAATATTCTTCCCCATTGAGTAATCTGGCTAGTTTTCAATATAAAGGCTGCCTGGTGTTTTCCATCTATGGTGACTCAGGTGGGCCAGAGAAAGGGCACTGACTTGGGTGGTTGTTAGAGGCTTGTCGAAGCTAGCCTTGGTAGCTGGGTGAGATAGCCCATGCCAGAACTGGGAAAGGAGCATGCGTACATTTTAAAATTACATACAACATACAAGAACTTTGTAATAGTCACCAAGAACTGGAAACAACAATAAAAAATACCCGCGAAGGAAGGAATAAATAAACAAACAGTACCTGCTCTACAAAACTACGTTACTCAACAAACAAAGGGACTGGGTTCTGATACATGGTACCCCACACAGCAGAAGCAGGCTGAAGGGTAGGGTCTATGGTCACTCACTCCATGTCACTGACTTGATACTCTAGAAAGTAAAAAGCTCTAAAGACTCCAACTGGTTTGGGTTTTGTTGCTGTGATTAAACACCATGACCAAAAGTAACTTCATTTCATAATTCTCAGGTCACACTTCATTCCTGAGGGACAGCAGGACAGGAACTCAAGGCAGGAACCTGGGGGCAGGAACTAAAGCAAAGGCCAAGGGGGAAGACTGCTTTCTGCTTTCTCCCTATGGCTTGCTGAGCCTGCATTCGTATATAACCTGGGACCACCCTCCCAGGGGTGGCACCACCCACCATTGGTCTGGGCTCTTCTACACCTGTCATTAATCAAGAGCATGTCCCATAACATTGCCTACAGGCCAATCTCATGGAGGCATTTTCTTAATTGAAGTCCCTTCTTTCAGACACCCCTGGCTTGTGGCAAGCTGACAAAAAGCCCAACAGGTAGGTGTGAGATGTAAAAGGGATCAGTGACTGCTAGAGAAGGGGTGACAAAGGGGCTGAGAAATCTTAGAGGTGACAGAACTTCTCTGTACCTCAGCATCTCTGGTGTTTACATGAGGTATGTATATGTCAAAACATGCAGATCAGTACTGTATAGCAAGTGAACTGTGTTCTGTATAAATGGCCTCACTTGAAAGATGAAAAGAAATCACCACACAGAACACTGACACATCTGTCCTAAGGACAGGTGTCTATAACAGGCTGAATGACAGCCAAGACAGGAACAGAATGCTTAAAGGGTATCCCATCCTCTCCTAGGGCGGAGATGGCAGGTCTCTGAGAGGCAGGGAACCTATGGCAGCAGGACAGACGGGGCAGAGTGGCACACCGAAGGCAAGGACAATAACCAAGTGTTGAAATGATATTCATATTAAAGTCCTTACTATGTATGTGCCCTGTGGTTTTGCAAGATTTGAGAAGAGAGAAACTCCCCAAATTCAGCAGAATAGACACTTAGGGGAGCTTTATGGCCAGTGTGGTGAAGAGGGGCACTCCGTCCCCAGGGCAACCAGGGCCCTCCCTACTGTGACTTTTCCTGAGTTTCTTAACACTTCAGCTAGTGCACAGTCAGTTGGTATCTATAATTCTGCCTTCCTTAGCATCGAGAAGGTGGAGGACAGGCTAGCTTCAGGCATTTCTGCAGTCAGCAGAATTCTGTGTGAGTGATAACTACATGAATAACTCAGACAAATGTTACAGTGGGGCAGCATCTTGCATTTTACATTTTCTCCAGCTATGTGCTGGAAACCCTGGTTAACAGCCAAGCCTTCTGTTTGATGCTCAAGGTTCAGTTTCACACAATTAGCCACTTATGGATCATGTGGAAACAGGTCTGGTCCTTAGTAGAGTCCTTTAGCCGTGCTCATAGGAGCAACCCAAAGTCTGAGTTACAGTTGGACACTGGGGCATTGTGTAGAACAAACACTGCAGCCAACTGGTGTTCAACTATGAAGTCTGCAAATGAGCTGAAGCCATCCTCTTTCCCCCAAGACTTCAAGAAACTAGGTTCAGTAAATCCAAGACACTCTGGTCTCCTTGCTGCTCACATGGCAATGGTGCCCACTCTCATTCTTAGACTTAAAACACCACTGCCATTTTAAATATAAATGCCTTCTCCTCAGTTATAAATCCTAATGTCTCAAGTGCTAAAAATTCACTTCCAACCTGGGTACTAGCAGCAATATAGAGCCCCTAGAAGTGTGTAGGCTTGACTATGTTCTCATGGGCCCTACAAAGAATACTGGTGGACAGATCCCAACCCGTTGGTCCTCCTGACTTCTTTCTGGGATTCCCAGTTGCTCAGATAGGTCAAGTCTTCTGAAAAGGCTTCACCTTGCAGGCCTGTTAAGATCTCACTGACAAAACACTATTGGGCATCTCTGTGCCAAAGAAAGTACTCCCTCTTTCCTTCCCATTATTATCATCAAGGAGTACTGTGGGTAATCTGGATTTAAATAGGATAAAAATATCCAGAAGCAGGATATTGAGCACATATAAACACATCCCTGCTCTACATGTTAGATATGAAGTGTTAGGTCATTTCTCCCCCAAGATTACCATTAACTGCTTAGACACCTGATAGTAAAAAGCAATCTTACTTATGAAGTCAATATACTCTGGAAGAAAAAGAAAGAAAACATGGCTGCTTGCCTCTTAGTAGCCCCAAACTTAAAACAGGGCCCAGAGCACAGAACTCAGAACAAAGAACAGAGAACACAGAGCACAGAGCTCAAAACAAAGAACACAGAGCACAAAGTACTGAGCTCAGAGCGTGGAGCACGGAGCAGGGAACACAGAACTCAGATCGTAGAGCACAGAGCTCAGAGCTCAGAGAACAGAGCAGGGAACCAAGGCTGCAGGCCTTCCTGAGACAGCAGCAGCACCCCCTAAATTATTCACGGAGTCACAAAAGCAAAGCAGGTGTGGATGATGGAAGGGATGGATGATAGATGCCCACTCGCCATCCCAGTTACCTTTCTCTTCACATTTTCAAGTTCCTCAGCCTCTCTTTGCCAAATTGTTTTCCTGTCAAAGTCAAAGGGGCCTTGTCTGGACTCATAGCTACCATTGGCCTGATCAGGGTTGAACTCTTCATACACCATGTAATCTGGAATGGAGACCACAGGGACTCTGCAAGGATGGACAGGACAAGTTATTGCCTGGCACTTGGAACCATATCACACTCTCTCTCCTCTTTCCCCTCATTCTTCCCTGCTCCCTCCTTCTAGCCTCTCCCTCCTTTTTCATTTTCTCCCTCTTCTTTCTCCTGCCTCCACCCCCTTTTTTCTTCATCCTTCTCGCTTCTGTGTCCTCTGTCTCTTTGAAGACCTAGGTAGACCAGTCCCTTCTCCTACTGAGTAAACAAATCAGACATTGTCCAAGCTCAGTATCCACAGAACAACAAAAGAAATCATAGGGTGGCATGCTGAAGTATGAGCTTATAAAACAGATAAAGCATAATTGGTTCTTGTAGCCTAGTATTTACTATTTTGTTACCTTTAAAGAGATAAGTACCCACCAAACGTTTACCATTTACTATCATCAAGGTTAATAACAACCTGCTGCTCTGTTAAATGGCCAGCGTTAATGTGGGTATGTAAGCATGCAACTGGCCTTCCCAGAATGCATTGGGAAGTGTCAGCTGCAGAGTCTCTTGTTGTTCCTTGCCTGCCTTGTTATAGATAGATAGATAGATAGATAGATAGATAGATAGATAGATAGATATTCTTTGTCTCTGTCTCTGTCTGTTTCTCTTCCTGTTTCTCTCCCTGTCTCTCTGTCTCTGCCTATCTGGCAGTCTGTCTTCCTGTCTCTGTCTCTCTGGCTGTCTGTCTCTGTCTTTTCCTGATTCCGTTTCTCTTCTGAACTTAGCAGAAACTCTTTTTAAAAAAACAAAAACATAAAATAGGGTTTCACTACATAGCCCTCACTGGCCTGGAACTCAATATGTAAATCAGGCTAGCCTTAAACTCAACCTTAACCTCACAAAGATTTTCCTGCCTCTGCCTCTCTAGTGCAGGGAGTAAAGCTGTGTGCCACAAACCGGGACTATGAACTATTCATTGTAAAAACAAGGTAGAGATTCAATATCTACTTTCCACAGGTATACAAAAGCATTATGTGTTCTTTTTATTATATGTTTTAAAAACAAAAACTAAACCAGGCTAGTGGTGGCCACCTTTTGTCTCAGCAGAACCTGGGAGACAGAGACAAAGATTATGAGCTTGAGGTTGGCCTGGGCCTCACATCCCCCTAGCCCCAAAAGAGTGTAGGATTTGTTTACAGAAAAAAAAACCCAACAGAACATATAATAAAATACAAAAACAACCAAAACAAAAGGAACCAGAATCCTGAAGGGAAAACTACATGAAAAAGCCCACATGGTGCCTGGGAAAAGACACTGCCTAGCAGCAGGGAAGTATGCCTGCATTGATCCAGTCTGTCAAGAAAAACAATGGAAAACAAAAAGCAAGTCTTTAAAATGCAGAAAAGTAAATCCTAAAAGTATTTCTGATGCTTCCTCTCAAACCAAAAGAGGAATCTGAAGGGAGTTTGTATGGCTACAGGTAACAACTGATAGACATTGTAACAGGATAGGGGGCCATGACTCTCCCCCGCTGTGACTGTCTTAGAGACTGAAAGGAGTGTATGGTGTATGTAACACCTTTCATCTACAGTAAGAAGCAAGCTTGGGGGCAGACAGCTCTGTGACAGGAAGACACAGTTGTGGCCCAGGGGACAAAGGATAAAAACCTAAGGCTACTGGCTAATAAGTAGCCAAAAGAACCTCATTCTGAGAGGACACAGCTCTGTGTCTCCTTGACTCTAGTTTCCTGTCAACTTATGCTACAAATAGCGCACACTTTCAGGCAGTAGTAAATATTCCTAATTTTCCAATTCAAACTGAGACTTTTCAAATTGTTCTTATTACATTTTTATTTGTTTGTGCTCAGCCACACATGTGCCATGGTGGGCATGTGGAGGTCAAAGTACAAACTGAGGTAGCAGCTCTTGCCTTCTATGTGGGTCCTGGGAATTAAACTCAGCTTGTCAGGCCTGTCAGCATGCATCTTTATCTGCTGAACCATTTTTCTGGCACCGTTTATATACATATACGTGTATGTCTACATACACGTATATTATATACAGAGATATGTAGATAGAGATAGGTTGATTGATATATGATAGACAAAAATGTCAGAGACTCAGAGATACTCACTCTCGCTGGTGAGATGTTGGAGGCTTGCTGTGGTGAATATACCAGTCTGGCAGGGAGTAGGCTACTGGGGAACCTTGCCTGGTTCCAGGGGTAAAGTGCTTCAGCAAATCTCAAAGAGAAAGGGACACAGTTATGAGTGGTTGGTCCTTCTCCCCATGTAGGGCATGTGGCATTACCAAAGCTCTACACTGGGAGCTAATGCCATCTTCCCTAGGGTAGCCTCTACACAGGCTGAGAGCTGAGCATCCTGCTTGACACTAAGACAGAGATATCCCTCATGCACCCTGCACCTTTCATGCCCTCTCCTCTTGTGGATGCAAATAGCTCCTGGTCCAGAGCTGGCATCAGTGCCAGTTACCATTGACGCTCCCCTCAAGGGCTCATCTCTCTACTTCTGAGGTCCCCAGGGGCTGTGAGCCATGTCCCTCAGCCTTCAGCTACCTCCATGCTCCTCTCCATCCTATGGCAGTCCAACCATCTTGATCCACCACTGTGGGTCTGCTCCCCCACCCCACTGCTGTTTTCTAGAGAACTTGCCCTCTTCCCTCCAGGTTCCCAGGTCAGAAGCCCCAGGTGGAGCTATACAGACTGGTACCCAGCACAGGCTTTTTCCCAACTGGTTCCTCACTCCCGATGCCTTTCTTCCTCTCATCCCTCCTTCCTCCTGCCAACCAGTATCTAAGACTAGTGCTGGCAAGAACTAGTTTTGCCAGGTAATTCCAACAGCAAAATAGCCCATAGCCATGGTAGCAGCAGAAAATGTACTGACTGGATCCTCTTTGTGAGAAATCTTTAACTTTCCATTTGAAGCTTTAAAGTCCTTCTGCTGTTAAGATTTTCAAACTTAGAGAAAACTTCGAGCACAGTGTAAGCTCTTCTCCACTCCTAACCCAGGCTCGACATGCATAGCCATTTTCTTTCTTCTCTCTCCACATCCTCCACTGGTAGCCCCATCATTACCAGTCTCTGTTGAGCGGTATGTTGCAGGCATGCTTGTCCCATCATCCTCTGCGCCTTAGCTGCTGCTCTTACAAGCTGGCCCTCGCATGATCACGGCACAGTGAAGACACTGTCACTGTGTCAATGATGGCCTCCATCAGAGTGTGCTAGTCTCTTAGAACCAAGAGCAAGGAGGTGGATCTTACAAAGGGATGCTTTGATCTTGCCCCTGTATGTCCCTGGTTGAGTCAACCAAGTGGTATGGTCTAGGTTTAGAATGCTCGAGCGCAGACTTGGCCACTATGTCGCCTATGACATTCAGTGTAGGGACAGTGACAGCCAGAGGGAAGGAAGGAAAACTTTAGTCTCTCTCAGTATTGGGTGCTCCAAAGCCTGGCTGAGACATCTGGGATGTGGCCCCTTTACTCTCTGACCAGTAATTTCCATTAAACTCAATATATCTTCCTTGTTACAAAAGCCGATTTTTATCAAAGATTATACATACCTAACCTCCATAATGAACTCACATTTCTAAAACCAAAGCACATAGATAGCACTGTTATATTTAATGTGGAGAATGTTAGAAACAACACCCCCATTTCTGCTCACAAAGCCACTCAGTGCACAGGGCTTACCAGGTCTGCCACCTTGCTTAGCCAATTTCACATACTCCGAGTCTGTTTCTTTTATCCAGTATCTCCGAGCACGGGGCAAATTCACATTTGGGGAGTCTCTCAAGTCACTGAGCCCTGGGATCTGGGATGCTGGTGGGGCACCCACGGGCTTCTCAGAACGCTTCACAGGTAGGTGGTAATACCAATCTAGACAGGAGGAAGACCAGCACACTGTTAGATAGGTACAAGGAGACACCTGATCAAGAGGCCCTATACTGTGTGCCAGTCTTATCTCTGTGGTTATAACACTGTCAGAGCAGCACATATCACGGAGTATACAAGCAAGAAAAGAATTGCCTGCCCTGGAGCATATGTGACAAATCAGGACACCACCAGAATGACCTATAAGATGGTTAACTTTCCAGAGGCCCCAAGTATATCAGCCACTAAGGCAAATAGAAAGAATATCACCTCCTTCCTGTCCTCTTGGCCCAGGTCTCCTCCCAAAGCTGAGGGCTTAGCCAATTCCATTGTTGTAGCAGTTCCAGGAGCTATCAAAAACCCCTGTGTCTGTCTTCTTTCCTCCTTCTAGCTCTCCTTCCTTCTCCTCCCTCCCTCTTGCCCTCCATACCCCAGAAAAAATATTTAGCTGTATTTCTGGGAACGTCGGGAGACGTGCAAACCTGAATAAATACTGAATTATTTAAACCAGTATGGTAAACCAGATATTGACCAGGATTTGATAACCTTCACATATTAAAATGCTAATATTTGAATTCGGTTACAGACACACAATCTGATCAAACTTGTTTGTCACTTTTACAAGAGCATAAGGAAGTAGGCCAGGGTGTGGTCCAAGAAGCCTCACTTGCCTAACAGCTGTGTGGGAAGCAAACACCTGCCTCCCATACCCTCCAACAGCCAACCCTGTATTCCCATGACAGCCCAGCTGCACACAAGAACAATGCTGGAGGCTATACTGGGCAGTGGGAAGCAACAGACGCTTAGATGTATCCTGAGAGGGGAATTCAGCAGGCCAGAGCAATCACCTTTATGCAAGCACAAGAGTTCAATGATTCTCCTTGGGAAAGACTGGGGGCAGGGGGATGGTAAATGTAGATTGTGACTTCTATCCTGAACAGAAGACTAGAGGACAGATCGCAGGAAGCAAGGACAGGGATGTGAACAGCTTGGCCTTCCTCTCTCCTTTCTCCCCAGAGTGACATAAGCCCTTTGCAGAAAGAGGGAAGAGTTGGGCCTCACTCAGTGAAATGATGAGGCTCTCTAGACTTGGAGCTGATGGCATACAAGAGGAGACTCTCCAGACTGACTTAGAACATCCACAAACTCACTGGAGACACAGCAGGAATGTCTATCAAGGGGCAGAGGGATTAGCAGAGTCTCTCTCTCACACACCACACACACACACACACGCACACACACACACACACACACAACATCCACTCCACACATGCACACATGCACAAGGTCAGAAGAATCTGGTCATATACAAGTCTACATCAGACATCAACCAGATGCCAAAATAAAAAGAAGACAACACTAACACATCTATGAAAAAGTTGAGAAACAGAAGTTTGACATTCAGAGTCAAACACAATGCCTAGTCTTTTGTGGTAGCGTGATGGCAGACATTAGTGTACTTAACTTGACTCAGCCACAGTATCCAGACTTTGTACAGATGTTATTCAAGTTGCTTTTGTGAAAGTACTTTTAATTATCACTCGAAGCAGAGGTCTTAAGTGTAAAGCAGATGATTCTCTACAACAGAGTGAGAACCACTCAGCTGAATCTTAAGAAAAATGAAGGACGAAGGAATCCTGACTCCAGACAGACTTTGAACTTGATCTGCAACCTCGGTTCTCCCCCTGGTCTCCAACTTGCCCTGAAGATTCTGTACTTAATGGGCCTCACAAACAAGCAAGCCAATGTGTAAAAGAGCTCTCTCTCTCCTTTTGCAGGTAGGTGGGAAAGGTAGTTAAGCTGCTCACAGAGTTAGGGCACAGGGAGACAAACAACAAATAAGCCAACGTACACATAGAATCAAGTTGCTGCTCTCTGAAGCCACATGCTCAGACTGCCAGTTTCTTCTTAGAAATAAAGCTAGGATCACTGACTAAGAGCGAAGGATGTTTCACTGGAAGCATTTATGTCTAAAGGATGTTCATCATCAGAACCAACATGATCCAGTTTCAAAGACCCGCACAAAGGACTTCAGAGCAATAAGAATCAGAATTCAGTGGCTGTTTGTGGGGCAAGCTTAGCTCCATGTTTCTTCTTTTACAGGAAAACCTTTGGTTCTTGCTTTATTTTTTTCCTCTGGGATTTGATTACTAATTAATCCACAGAGAAAAGTGTATCTTCTGCCACCTCATTACTACAAGCTTTGGATAGGCACTGAAGACGCCAAGGCATTCATAAATGTGCACACAGGGACAACTCAGAGATGGAGGGCCCTGATTAGTAAAGACAAACTGGTACCTAGCACACACATGTAGCAGGTTAAGAGGACACAGAAGTATCTTTTTAGTTTTTATCATTGCAGATGGCTTGTACCTGTGTGACACCAGATGAACCACAGACTAGCTGCTTTTCTCTGTCCAGCTTCCTTCTTAATGCTGTGCCTTTATTCTCACTTATTTTCTGAATAAGGAAACAGAAGGCATAACACACACACACACACATACACACACACACACACACACACACGAGCACAGGCTTCTTTAGGCTGTACAGCCTAAAGAAAAGGCCACTTGGCAGGCATACTCACTCCAAGGGCAACTTACTTCAAAGTCAGCATGCCTCATTTTCCTGGTCTGTAAATGGGGTGATAATTTCTGGTTAGGGGTTTCTGAAGTTAAATGTGCGAGTGTACATAGGATTTGCTGAATACACCTGTCTATGTCGTGCTTCACAGAAATGAGATTACTTCCTGAGGACACAGAAAGGTCTCAGGATGGTTACAGAGCCTGGGATGGGATAAGAACTGGCCAGGTCTTCTTAACTCTATTTATCCCACCCCAGTTCTCAGCTGGCTGTCATCAACAATCACATGGGCTAGCTAGCATGCATGTAGCATGTGCAAGATCACACTCCTTTCTTCTGTGCAGGTGACATGGCTCAAACTGGTCTCCCAGACGAGCACCAGGCTTTTTTTTTTTTTTCTCCCTCTGTCTCCAGCTCTTCTCTGGACACAGAGGAAAAACACAAGAGAAAAGTAGTGTCAGGAGAAAAACAGTGTCAGGAAATGTTTTCCTTCCCCATTCGGCTTCAAAACTGATGCGCGCAACCCACGAACCTTCACTGGATTCAGCTTTCCCGGATCCAGATATGGAAGCAGAAAACATTTGTCTTGGTTGGGACCTAAATTAGGAGCAAAAGTTAGGAAGTCGAGGATATTCCTGATGCGTTCTGTCAAAAATGAGACTATCTTAGGCTACACCCCGTGCCAAGACGCGGGAGTTATGAGACCTAATTTGCTACAAAATGAATTTCAATGGGCTCCTACCTTCTGTAGCTCTGCATGCAAAGGTCCTGGCTTCAACCCCAGCACGGAATCGACAAAAGCAGGAGCACCTACCCTTCCTGCTTTTACCATCCCACCCCTTCCATCCATGCTCACTCACCACAGGGAGCGTAGCGGTAAGAGGTGCCCTGCACCTCCTTGCTGGTGTTCCTCATGGCCTGGTGCTAAGAGCAAGTCCTCGTCGGGAAGAGAAAGGTGCTTCTAAACCTGGGTTCTCTGGTTATCTGGGCGCTGCCAACCCGCCCGATGGGAGCAGAGTCTGCAGGGGCAAAGTCAGCGAGCTTGTGGTTCCACCCGCTTCCAGTTGACACACCTGCAGACGCCTCACGCCCAGAAGCTGTCACGTCCACTGCGGTCACACGGCAGCACCGTGTCCACGCTGGACACCCAGCAGGGGCACATGAGACAGAATATACAGCCAGAGCACATTCAGTGAGTACACCATAGGGGATCCGGCAAGCGGCAAGCGGGTAGACAGCACGGGGCACGTTAAGCGGGGTAAACAGCAAGGGCACGTGCGCGCAGGGTAGACAACAGGAATATATTAAGTGTCCTATAGGTTATCAAGGGCCGCAGGGTTTGGCAGGCGCCGAGGTCACTGTTAGACTCCCGGCTCTCCGGATCTGGGATTTACAGCCCCTGTAGCTGAAGTTCGTACCAAGAGGGCTGGCTCCAAGACCGACTCCAAACTCTTAGAGAGACGCAGAAACACAGGAGCACGCGTCTCCATGGCAACGGCCGGGCGGCCAACCAGCGTGTGTGGCGCGTGTGCTCGAAGCCAATGGGAGCAAAGTGAAAACGTCTGTCAACCGCCCTCTGCCTCCACCTTAGGAGGTGGGGCTGGTTATGAGGGCGGAGCCATGGCTAAATACTCCTACAACTGTGACCCTTCTCTGAGGTCTCTACAGGAACTCTGGTAACTTCAATTCGGCAAGAGTTATTTGTTTCTTCTTTAAAAAAAAAAAAAAAAAAAAAAAAAAAAGGAAAAAAACTGGGCAGGCTGACAAAGGCTTGTAATCCGAGCACCTGGGATGCCCAGGCAGGAAGAAGAGTCGCTTATGAGTCGCTTAAATGCATTAAAGAAACACTGATGAACACGTGAGAAATTCAGAAAATATACAGTTCTGCAAACTGGGTCAATACTTAAATTATCGCATAAAATACTCTTCATGTCTTATTTTCGAAGAATATTTTATATATATATTTTTTAAGCCAATACATCGTTGTTTTAGAAAGCTCTTAACCCTCCATCTACAGCAAGGAGTTTGGAGCTACAAACTGCTGCCGTGCTAATCCTGAAGGCTTCACATCACTCTGATCAAATAATGGACATAACAACTCACTTTCCATTCCTGCAAGAGTGAAGAATAATTGTAAGAGCCATCTCAGAAATTCTGTAGGCAGCTGGGCTGTAAGTAGCATGGATTCCTCTTGCTAACTTTTTCTTTAAAATTAAAGCCTTTTTGAAATGGTGGGTATTTGACAATTTGAAATAACTGACCTGTTTTTGTTACACAAGTAAAGCCTTGGAAATCTAGCAGAAGTCAGATAATGTACAGCTGAGTGAGGAGTGGTGTGTGTGTGTGTTTGTGTGTGTGTGTGTGTGTGCGTGCACTCATGCGCGTTTAGCATTTAGCCCCTGGTTGTGTTCCATCCAGCTCTAGCATATGACTGATCTCAGCTATTCAGTTTGCCCGGTGACATAGTCATCAGAGCTCTATACTTAACAGCATGCGTGCTCCACGGTCTGGAGGCACTCAGCTTATCCATACACACAAGTGCTTCCATTCCTGGAAGTCACGACATCACCTGACCAGAGGGTCATGATATCAAGAGAGTTTATTTTTAAAAATAGCTGATTGTAGTGCCTGGAGCTTGGTGACTAGAGCATGTCTTTCTGATTCTCCATTCTAATAGAAGAATTTGGCACCCTCCCCAGATGAACTCAGAAGCTGAGTGATGACAGAGGGTGCTAATGCTTGAGAAGACAGCTTTGACCTTCGCTCTATTACTAAAGTGAAGGAATTTGCAGGTGCCATATCAGTAAGACTCTAGGCACATGCAAATGAGAACAGCTCAAGAGTAATTTGTACTGAATGACTTCTCAATGTCTTCTAATGTTTTCTAAGCTTCTTCCCTTGTGCCCCAGTCACAGAATGGCTTCAGGCTTTAGAGGTACGGGCTATCCCTTGTCATGCAATCTCAGATTGTACTTGTAGAATCTAATTTTGCTGGTAGATAGATGTAGATATTTCCTGCTTATGGGCATTTTGAGAAAAGAGAAAAGTGTATTAGTATGTGTGCAAATTCCAAAGTTCCAAAGCCTTCTGGCATTCCTTCCTTCCCAGTCTCTGCTGGCTCACTCTCATTGAATGCAACTGAGGACTTAACAGCTCTTCAATTCCTTGGTACCAACTAGTGCCCTCCTAGGGAGCTAAAAAGCCTACATACAAGCCACTTCCCAGCCCTTGGTTCCTGCTGCAGGCTCCAGCTGTTCCTTTCATCAGGCAATACGCTAGTACATTCCATTTTCACAAACCAAGATGTTTTATTTCTATCACCCTCTGTTCAGTGATAATTGACCTACTTTAAAGGTGAAACACTTTCTTTTGACATACATTTACATTGTGTAACAGTTTTGGTTGTCAGCCTCATCAGAAAAACAGGGGCATCTTGTCTGTAGCATCCAGAGAAACCCGCTTTCTGTAAGCACTTTCTACAGTGTTCTGCAGGGTGTGTTGAAGTCTTTCTGTTTAGATCAAGACTGTTAACAAGAAAAATGGGACATTATGATCTTTCTCAACTTTTTGAGGTAGGACTGACAAACATTTTATATATGTTTAGTTATAGGATATGGCATTAAATATATTTGTACATTGTGAAATGGTTACCCCAACTAAACTCATTACCATACCCATAGCCCCACACTTGTCCATGTATGTAGTGGGGAAGGAACACTTACCTTTACCGTCTCGACAGATTTTGGGGTTAGCTCTAGTCATGTGCTGCAGGCTGGCTCCCAATGCTTCACATCTTAGCGCTGAGATGCTGAGATGTTTGACAGGCTCTCTGAAGTTCTTGTTTCGCTCACCTCTCAGCTTCTGGTAATTAGCATTTTGCTGCTTCTATAAATATGAGGTTTTGCGTTTCACATACAAAGCCACAGAATAGGCTCTGTGTCTGGCTCATTCCACTTAGAAAATTGTCCACTGGGTTTATTTACACTGTCACATATGACTTGATTTCCTACTTTCTATGGCTGTCTGTGTATAAGCCTCTCTCTCTCTCTCTCTCTCTCTCTCTCTCTCTCTCTCTCTCTCCCTCCCTCCCTCCCTCCCCACAACCATGTGTGTGTGTGTGTATGTGTGTGTGTGTGTGTATGTGTTCTTTTACAGCCACATGCTGTGATTTTTTTCTCATCTTTTCTTATTTGAGTTTTCCTTTTATGTGTGGTAGCTGTGAAGCCCACAGAAAACACTGTAGTTAAAATGGCCTACTTTACACAGACAATTTCAACAACATGCACAACCACACTTTCGTTTTCTCTGACATCTTTTTTTTATATTAATGCTGTATTTTGAATCTTATTTATAACAAGGTATGGTGGTTATGGTCCTTCTATCTTCTAGTTTGTGTACTTCAGTTACATTGACTGTCTGCCACCCTTCTTGTGTTACTGCATTGGAAGTTTGATTACAAATGTTTTCCAGTGAGTTTTATGCTTGCATGCTGGCACCTAGCTCCCTGCAATTTAAACTTGAGTATTCACCTGTGTTTCTTACAAGTTCACTCTTATACTTCATCATCAGTGACCAGAGGCAATGACCAGAGGGCTGCATTGTTTCTGACAATGTGTTTATCTCACTTATCTCTTTTTAAATTTTTTTAGATTTCATATGTGTATTAGTATTTTACCTACATGTATATAAGTGTACCACATACATGAAGAAGCCCACAGCGGCTAGAACAGTGATTCTCAACCTTCACAATGCTGTGACCCTTTAATACAGTTCCTCATGTGGTAGTGACCCCTCCTAACCATAACATTATTTTTGTTGCTACTTCATAACTGTAATGTTGCTACAGCTATGAATCATAATGTGAATATCTGATATGCAAGATATCTGATATCACATATCAAAGGGACCGGAAACCCACAGGTTGAGAACTAATTGGGTTAGAAAAAGGTGTTGGATTCCTTGGAATTGGAATTAGACAGTTCCTACTGAACCCAGGTATTTTGCAAGAGCAGCAGGTGTTCTTAACTGCTGAAAGGTCTCTCCAGTCCCTATATCAGCTATTTTTGAGGGACAGATTCTCCAGCTTTGCTTGAGTGACAGCTTTCGTTTTTTGCTTTTTGTTTTTGTTTTTGTTTTTTTTTTTCAGAATTCTGAGCTCATCATTTTCCCCCTCTCTAGTTATTGTTGAAAGTCTGTGGTACAGGACAGGAATTTTTTTTTATTGCTTTTAATTTTTTTTTTTTTGGTCTTTCGATATTTGGTTGCCATATCTCTAGGTTGTATTTTGAGGTTCAAATTTGGAAGCATCACAAATCTAAATGTCCCAATTCCTGCCAAGATACAGGACATTACCAATCAGTATTTATTTAAATAATCTGTCTGTCTCTGTTTCCTTTCTGCTTTGGAGCTCTCATTGTGTCCGTATTCACATTTGTGCTGTCATATGTTAGATGTTAAGGTTTTGTACACGTCGTTCTTTTAGCACCTGGAACTGAATCCCTTCAAATGGACTATCTTTTTCCTTCTAATTTACTTTTTCAGTTTTAATTTTCATTCATTATTATTAGCGTGAATGAGTGTGATTCCACAGGCCACATCATGTGTGTAGAGAACAGAGGACAATCTTAGGAAGTCAATTTTCTCTTTCCACCCTGCCAGGCTCCCACGATCTAAATCAGGTCCTGGGGCTTGCAAGGCAAGAGTTTTCACCCACTGAGACATCTTGCTGGGCCTCAAGTGGAGCATCTGTGACTTGATGCTGCTTTCTTCGTGTGACTGAATCCGTTGCTGAGTCTCTCTATGGGAAACTTCAGTCACAAGTGTAACTTTGGACCAAGGCTTTCTGGTCACTTGGTATTTTGTTCCTGTTTTATTTAATATCTTCTTGTTTTCCCTGTGTTGTTTTTCTGATTTTTGTCTCATTGTCTGTGTTCTCTGGCATTTCACTAAGTTTCTTTAAATTCATTATTTGTATTACTTTTTAATCGGACAACTTGTAGATCTTGATTTCTTTGAGGCTGTTTACTTGAACTTTATTTTTGGATGAGATCGTGTTTGCCTGATTCTTTGTCATCCATGTAGACTTGTATGGTATTCATGCCTCTGAGGTAGCAATCACTTTCCCAGTCTTTACAGACTGATTTTAGCCAGTAAAGACTGCACCCTGTTGTGTCTTTATCTGATAGAAATGCATCTAGGGCAAGTCTTAATCAAACAACTTGACAGCTGCTGGGCCTTCAGTTGTATAACCAGTTGCTAGAGGCTAACGTATGCCTTGCATCTAGGTGGGTTCAAATGTTTCCAGTGCATTGATCAGTGGAATTGGCACTGTAGTGAATCAAGTTCAAGGTTCACAGTGGTGTCTTCAGATACAGGTCTGTTATCTGGTACACGA